TAAATCCGTTCACTGTATCAATTTTTATAAGGCGTTGAATAAAGGGCAACAAAGCGGAAGGGAGTTATTTGATAACCTAATATTTAACAATAATCAAACTAAAATAATTTCCGGTCAAACCATTACTGTTTAAAGAAGCGAATCTTGTCAATTTATGTTTTGATTTTTCTGATTGAGTTCCAATTCTTTGCACCAAATCCTGAATCAAAAAGAAAGAGACCCCAGAGAAGAAAAATATTACAAACATTTGAATATGCACACACTCGTCTGAAAATTATCTTTTGTTATTCCCTAATTTGTATCAATGTAACTTTTGAGGTGGCGTGTTGAAAATACCAAAAGTCACACTTGTACACATACACATTGTGTCTGTGTGGGAAGAGGAAGAACAATAAAGATCTCAGAGAGGGGCAAAGCTCTCTCTTCTCTTTGTTCTCTTACTCTCTGCCTAAGAACGTTTTGTTTCCTTTTTCTGTATGCACATGCGTACTCTTACTACTTGCTTGCAGACAACGAGAGCGTGCGGTTGTGTAAAATAAAAATTAACTAAATCGACAATTGAAGTCTTTTTCCTATTTTGCAAATCTGGCTGGTGTGCTCCTGGAGTTTATATAAACATCTTTTATATAAATTCCATACCTGCAAATACGTTTGTTTATTTTTAACTGCTTGTCAACAAGCCTACCGGATTGACAATACGATCGCATCACGATTTATTCTGATGAACTCTCGAAAATGCAGTCACACTGAAAAGATTAATGCCCTCTCCCCACAGAGCTCCATCCACCATCCGTTGAACGGATGGTCCAAAGGTTTTGCCGCAACAAAGCGGAAGGGAGTTATTTGATAACCTAATATTTAACAATAATCAAACTAAAATAATTTCCGGTCAAACCATTACTGTTTAAAGAAGCGAATCTTGTCAATTTATGTTTTGATTGATCTGATTGAGTTCCAATTCTTTGCACCAAATCCTGAATCAAAAAGAAAGAGACCCCAGAGAAGAAAAATATTACAAACATTTGAATATGCACACACTCGTCTGAAAATTATCTTTTGTTATTCCCTAATTTGTATCAATGTAACTTTTGAGGTGGCGTGTTGAAAATACCAAAAGTCACACTTGTACACATACACATTGTGTCTGTGTGGGAAGAGGAAGAACAATAAAGATCTCAGAGAGGGGCAAAGCTCTCTCTTCTCTTTGTTCTCTTACTCTCTGCCTAAGAACGTTTTGTTTCCTTTTTCTGTATGCACATGCGTACTCTTACTACTTGCTTGCAGACAACGAGAGCGTGCGGTTGTGTAAAATAAAAATTAACTAAATCGACAATTGAAGTCTTTTTCCTATTTTGCAAATCTGGCTGGTGTGCTCCTGGAGTTTATATAAACATCTTTTATATAAATTCCATACCTGCAAATACGTTTGTTTATTTTAACTGGAATCGGAGTTACACATTTGTCAAAAATCCCAATCGTTTTAAACGGATGGACTCTATGGGAAGAGGGCATAAAGTTTATGCTAGCGAACTCGTTTTTTGATCTGAGTACTAGTCTTTACTTCGATTTCTCACCACTCCTAACATGTGCGAGGCACAAGCAATAGTACGGGGAATTCTCGCACAAATCCTTAGGAATAAGAACGACCAGTGCAGCAATAAGTATTCATCACGGGATTCGATACCAGTTCGATCGAACAAATGAAAAACTCTCTTTTTTTCCGTTTTTCCCCTACGAAGCATCGCTGGCAAAGTCACTCGAGAGCGCGGGCAGAGCAAATGAAACCTTTATATAGATTCTTAATCTATGGAGGAAGTTTATACATTATGCCGTCTTCCCACGGAGATATCCCACCATCCGTTAAACGGATGGACAATAAGGGTTTGCTGTTCCGAAAATTCCCAGTTAGTTTCCCATCCAAAATTGACGGACTTTTTTATGCGATAGTTAGGCGATGTTTTTGCTGCGACTCTGAGTTCACCTTCTTGACAGTGCAAAATTGCAACATTCACTACGAAAATTTAAAAAATAATAAATTTTCAAAAAGGAAGGCGCCAAATCAAAAAATGCTGTTTATACTTGTAATAATTAATTAATTACTTCTCCATCCGTGTGACAGCATTAAGAGTAGCTCCACTCTTTCCTAGGCGCATACAGTACTCACAGGTACAAAGGAATAATTTTTAAAGGTCTTAGATGTGGACCCCAATGACATGGAAGCCTCTGCAGCGGAAGTCAACGCTCAGGCAGCTCTGCGGCCCCCGCAAGGTGGGCCACAAGGCCAAGCTTGTGTCATTGCATTGAGCTTGGTTGTCTGCCATCCTTAACATTAAAAATAAAATTAAATATGAAATTATAATAAAATAAAAAACAAACATTTATATATATTGAACTTAATTTGTTACCATTTAGACAATAATGGGCAAAAGCGGTTCATATTTTTTTGCAGGCTGGCAAAAATTTGCATACAAGTTAATCACAGAAATATTTCTACATTTTGTCCGAGAAATATTGCAACATTGTCGATGGCAATATTGCAACATTTCAATACAACGGTCAAGAGCCCGAAAGTTCAATAACATAAACACACCAAGAACCCCCAAGTTCAATAACATAAACACACGCATCCGGTCAGCAGCCACAGCGCAGTACCAAAATGCCGATTCTGCAAACCTTGCAGTTTCAGCCGCTCCAACAGAACTAGGCCACCGCCGCGGTCTCTTCCGCGACGTCGACTTCGCTGCCCCAACCCACAGCTTAGATCAGGGAATTTTTAAATGAATAAAATCAGTATCAAATTGAACTCCGAATAAATCAAACGTTCAAAACTTATTTTTGGGTTTTTATTATCCTGGAAATTAACTGGCGCCCGAACAGGGACCAACGCGAGGAAAAACGATTAAGTTCCTTTTAGTACAAATAATTAAAATATTTTTGTGCGATTCCGTTGGCCCAAACATAAAACTGAAATCAGAGAGACTCCTTGGCAATTAATTTTCCAAGCTGAAGACGGTAACCGGTCGGTGAAAAACAAGTTTACTGATCCATCGGTGGACTACAAGTACTGTCAGGTACGCCCGCAGGACAACCTCTACTAAGTGTGAATCGCAGGATCCCCAGTAGGAAACAAAAAGGAAGACATCCGGATCACCAGGAGGTGTAGCCACATCATGATAAGTTAAGTGAATAGTGAATAAGTGAAGGCAACCAAACCAAAAGTTAAATAAAAATCAAAAGTTAAAAATTTAAAATAAAATTTTAAAGTTAAAGTTCTAAAATTTTAATTCCATTTAAATTTAAAGTGAATCTAAAATTTAAAATTAAATTTAATTATTTTGAGTTATTAAAATTTTATTCATATAAAATTTTTTAATTATAACCATTTTTTAAATACAAATTGAATTAAAGTATTTTAATGTATTTAAGTGATTTACATTTGATTAAACATTTTTACTACTATTTAATTAAAATTCGAATTAAATTTACAAAATTAATTTAAGCAAATGAAACATTCATTCCTTATCATATAAAAAAAAAATAATAATTAATTTTGAAACTTAATATTTATAAGAATTATACTTATCAACCATTTTTATCGTAAGACAGACCCATGAAAAAAATCTCCTATGGCCAATCCGCATAATCTTATACGACCACCCGTCATTGATTTACAACCTCAAGAACAACCTCAACATCAGCCAGAACAACTTCAAAATAATAATTTAAATCAGGTAGAACAACATCAAGCTAACATAGTTCAAAATCAAAGACAAATTCATAGACAGGAATTACATCAGGAACACAGAGACAATATGGCAGCATTAGAGTTACAAGAAGCAGTCAGACAAATAATTGCTGAACAATAACCGATCCTATTACAACAAGCTCAAAACACAGGATTCGAGTTTGCACAGATTCCAAATCAGGAAATTTCCTATGAAAATCGAGCTAACCTCGAAGGTTTGGATAGGGTACCAGACATCGTAAAAAGCTCAAGGGAATTTTCTGGCAACCCAACAGAATTCAGTTCTTGGAAAAAGGGTGTGGATAGAGTTCTTAAAACATATGAACACACTGTAGGCACATCTAAGTATTTTGGGATTCTACATACCATACGTAATAAAATCACGGGAAACGCAGACACTGCGTTAGAATCTTATAATACTCCACTCAACTGGAATGCCATTTCTAAATGTCTAACTTTGCACTACGCAGATAAGCGGGATTTAAGCACTCTTGAATACCAAAAACCAGTCGGTAGAGGAATTTCATCAGTCAGTCTACAAACACTATTCGCTTATTCTAAATAAGGTTGGATGTATGGAATTAGGAATGGAAGCCGAACAACTCATGACGAAAATGTATAGGGACAAAGCCTTAGACTCTTTTGTGCGCGGACTTCGCGGAGATTTATCTCGTCTTCTCGGTATGAAGGAACCAACCGATCTTCCTTCAGCTTTACATCTTTGTTTAAAGTTAGAGAACCAAGCGTTCCGTGCAAACCATGCAGTTAATAGAGGGCAACAATCCGGATTTAGAAACGAGCCTTCCCAAAACTTACCACATTCACAACCAACCAGACCACAGCCAAGCAGGCCACAGTGGTCATTCCCCATTAATAACCAGTATCAAAATCTTCTAGTTCCACCTAGACAAAATAATAATATGTTTAATCAACCACGACCCCAGTTCTACTGTTCACGCACTTTGCGCTGAAATTTGTTAAATAGTGTAAGGCGGGAGCGGGAGCCCAATAAAGATTTAATCGCTCTCGCGAATTCGCCCCGTCTCTCGCCCCTTCGTTAAGTTAAGTTTAAGCGTCTATATATTGAAATTAAATGTCAGTGTTAAATCGAACTCGATCCAAACCGCACTCCCTTTCGTCACTCTCTTCGTCGTTATTAAAATCGTTAAAGATCCACCAAGTCGCGTTTTTATTAATACAAAACCGTATTGAGTTTTTTCATGGTGACCCCGACGTGATATTTGGATTTTTCGCGATCTTAATTTTCACAAAAAATAAAAAACAAAAAACTCGCGTCGGTACGGAAACAAATTTTTCGTTTTCTTTTGGAACTGCGTTGGAAGTCTGCTGAACCCTCCCTCTTGCTGCTGTTAAAATGGAAAAAAAGGAAGTCTCAAGCCCAAAATTGGCCAAGCAGGTATAGAGTGCGAAAAGTTGAAAGCTAATCTGTGGCGTTTTTTAATTGTGTTTTGGCCCATCTTTCAACTTTTTGCATTTGTGTGAAAAATTCGGTAGATAGCGAGCATTCTAACCAAGAAATAAATAAAACTTGCATGTACTAACAATTATAATTCTGATACATACATACATCCATACACATATACATATTTTGAATTATACATACATAAGTAAGTGAATCGCTTTGGACCAAAATAAAATAAATATTTGTCGGCATCCTGGTTTTTTTTAAAAAAATAAAATTCCCACATTTCTCGTCGTAGTAAACACCAATTATAGCTGTGCAAAAAATTAAAAAGGCAAAAGTTGGGAATTGTGAAAAGTTATAATTCGAGAATTAAATCCCCGGCAGATTTTCTGCCGCGCATTTTCTTCAAATTTCCCTCGCTGTTCGCCATTTCCCGCGCTTTATAGCGTCAGGTTTATATATTCGTTGCCCTTAGTTATCGATCAGTGCATCATCCTCCGTTAGCATTGCGTTGAGCACCGCCAGCCGTACACACATACACACACACACAGACAGGGCAGCCCGTTCTTTCGAGTTCTCTTTCGTCGTTTTCGATCGCTGGAACGGTGCAAGCGTTGCCGCTGCCTAAACGTTTGTTCGTTTTTTGGTGTTTGAGCTTGGCGTGTGCTCCCCTACACTACGTGCGCTCGGCATATTATATTGAATTATTAAATAATTTAGGATTCCTTAAATTAATTCTTTAATTCATTTTAAATAACTCCCCTACACTGCTTGCGTTCAGCTTATTCCTCTCGTTGGTTATTATTATTTAAATTTAATAAATTTAAAAACAAAATTTTTTTGTACACACTTACATATAATTTAAAAAAAAAAATAAATTAAATTAAATTTAAAAATCTTCGATAACAAAAAAAAAAAAAAAATGCCAAAATCAGAAAGTAACAACCAGGAAATCGAAGAGTTGGAAAACCAACGAGATGGATATATGAGGAGTATAGAGCGAACGCAAAGATATTTAAATGAGGGTCGATTCTCTTTAAATACGGTTGAGTTAGAATGTCGATTAGAAATCCTAAATACGCACATCGAAAATGCTTCGCTTATACAAAATAAAATTTAAGCGAAAGATGGAGATGATGAGTACCGCGAAGAGTTCGAAGAGACTGCGATAATAGCAAAATCGTTGCTAATTTCCCTAATTGCGGAAACAAAGCGTAAGAGCGTTGACAATTCCGCTCCGCCGGTAAAGCGCACACCCCAATGCCGTTTGCCGAGCGTCGCTCTTCCAACCTTCAGCGGAAAACATTCCGAATTTAAATATTTTATAAGCCTTTTCGAAACTTTTGTTGACAAAGATGACACGCTGCACGATATCGAAAAATTCAACCATCTAATATCGTGTTTGGCTGGAGACGCGCTAGGAACAGTCAGGGCATTCCAAGTTACCGCGGATAATTATCCAAAAGCTCTGGCTAGCCTAAGGCGGGTGTACGATAATGATTGTTTAATATTCTTTGACAATATATCGACACTGTTTAATCTGCCAAAGTTTTCCCAGCCATCAGCGCTGTACGATTCTCTTTTGTCCATTGGGGATGACAAACGTATTACGAATGCCATCCTCATCCATCTAGTAATGGGCAAAGTCGATGCAGGAACTAAAAGAAAATGGGAAGAACAATTAGATTATACCTCGTTTCCTCTTTGGAGCGAGTGTGAGTCGGCCCTGAACAAGCGCTATCAGCATATGGTTGCCGAAGAAGCGTGTATGCCAAAAATTGTTCAGCAGAGCCAGGCTTATCCAAAGAAGAATGGAAACAGGAGTTTTTCGTTTGTTGCTGCCATGGACGACCGCGAAGTATGTGTGTTTTGCAACTCAGCAGAACATCAAGTAGGAAATTGCACTGCTTTTGTTGCCCTAACAGTTCAGCAAAGATTCGATTTCGCAAAAAAGGCTCCCTTGTGCATTAACTACCTCCGTAAGGGCCACACGGTAAAAAGATGCAAATCGAAGAGATGCAGGGTGTGTAAGTCCTCTCACCACACATTGCTGCACATTTATTCGCCATCAAATCTCGCGTTGCCACCTCCTCCTCAGCCCACGCTCTTGCAGAATACTCCATCCACTTCGCATGCTTTGCATGCGACTGCATCGGATAGAGTTATTCTTGCCACTGCCATCGTGAGCGTCCAAACAAAAAGTGGCGAATTAGTTTTGGCTCGAGCGTTGCTCGATTCTGGTTCACAAGTAAATTTTGTGACCGACGAGCTCGCCCAGAGACTTCAGATTAGGAGAGAGCACGTGTGTTTGAGCTTGCGGGGCATTGGTGGAACTAATGCTCAAGCAACCAAAAAAATACACACGATAGTCAAGTCGCGAGTGGGTAGCAGTCAATTGTCGTCCGAATTTTACATACTAAAAATATTTCTGGTTATCATCCGGATCAAACGGTGAACACCAGCGGCTGGAGGGTGCCTGAAAATATTCAATTGGCAGATCCATTGTTCTTCAAGCCCCAAAAAATAGACATGCTTATAGGCGCAGACTCGTTCTTTGAACTATTGTCAGTCGGCCAGATAAAGCAAGGGCCTGAGTTTCCCATTTTGCAGAAAACAGTTCTCGGCTGGAGAGTGTCAGGGAGATGTGCCTCAGAAAAAATAAGAAATGCTGAAAAGTTGGTACATCTCAGCTGCCAGGAGGAAGTGTTGGAGTCAATAGACACAACCCTGCAGAAATTTTGGTCTGTGGAGGACTTGCCGCCCAAGGCCAAGGTTCATACTCCTGAGCAGCAACTTTGTGAGCAACACTTTGAGAAAAATACTCAAAGATTGTCGTCCGGAAGATTTTCGGTTCGTTTGCCGTTCAAATCTGACCCAAACACTCTTGGTTCATCATATGAAGTTGCGAAACGTAGATAAAAAAGATGTATCTGGAATTCATGGAAGAATATGAAGCCATGGGCCACATGTCTTCCACTAACAATAAAATTCCAGACAGTTCGCACTATTTCATTCCGCACCAATGCGTGCTGCGACCTCAAAGCACCTCGACAAAGTTGAGAGTGGTATTCGACGCCTCGAGCCGTACATCGACGCAGGTCGCGTTGAATGACATCTTGATGGTTGGCCCCACCATTCAAGAGGAGCTGTATTCGACCCTTCTTCGGTTCAGACTACACAAGTTTGCGCTTGCAGCAGACGTAAAAAAGATGTATCGTCAAGTAATGGTTGACGAAGCTGACCGAAACTTTCAGCTCATAGTGTGGAGACGAGATCCATCTGAGTCTCTAAAAATCTTCAAGCTGAACACTGTGACTTATGGAACTTTGCCAGCACCCTATCTGGCGATTCGGTGTTTAATGCGGCTTGGAGAGATCGCGCAGGATTCGTGTCCAAAAGCCGCTAAGGTCATTCAGAATGACTTTTATGTTGACGATTTGTTGACTGGCGCCAGATGCGTTGAGGACCTGCTAAGCCTTCGAGACGAAGTTTCTCAGGTATTAAGAGGCAGGATTTGAATTGGCAAAGTGGTTTTCTAACTGCCCAGAGTTGTCCGCATCTGAAAGCGCTGTCATGCCGCTAACGGCAGACTCAGACGTAACTGAAACCCTTGGCGTGGTTTGGTTGCCGGGTAAAGATTACTTTCAATTTCGGTTGGATGACTCTTTCCTGGATCTTCGTGCGACAAAACGAAACATACTGTCGGTGACTGCCCGACTTTTCGATCCGCTTGGCCTATTGTGTCCTCTAGTGACTAGGGCAAAAATGTTGTTGCAGGAACTGTGGCTTCGAAAGTTAGACTGGGACGAGTCGCTGCCGATGCAACTGCAGACATCTTGGGAAGCCTTTAAGGGAACGCTGTTGCAGCTGCCCAAGATCAAGGTATCGCGATTCGTTCATACAGACGCCAAAGTCCCAGCAGAAATACATGGTATCGCTGACGCTTCCATGCGAGCATATGGAGCGTGCATCTACGTTCGCACTAGTACCGCTGAAGGTTTAAAAATATCTTTATTGACAGCAAAATCCAAAGAAGCACCCCTCAAGACGAAAACTTTGCCTCGCCTTGAGTTGTGCGCAGCTCACCTTCTTGCGGATCTTTATAATCGTGTAAGACCATTGCTTAATTTTCCGATTACAAAAGTGTTCCTCTGGACGGATTCGGAGATCACTTTGCATTGGATCAAAACGCATCCTTCGTCGTTGTCAGTTTTTGTCTCAAACCGAGTTGCGGAGATTCAAGAGTGGTCGGAAAAAGCAATCTGGAGACATGTCCCCACGAAAGTAAACCCAGCGGACATTGTGTCACGGGGATGTGACGTTGAGGAACTTACAGCTTCCATTTGGTTCGCTGGGCCGCCGTTTTTGCTCGATGCAGAAAAAGATTGGCCTGTAAATCGACACTTCGAAGTACCTGCTGATGTCGTGTCGATGGAATTACGCAAATCAGCATTGGCGCTTGTGGTAATTCCAGACCCAATTATGTGCTTCAGAAAATAGAATCCTTTTCGTCGCACATAAGGCGACGGTTTATTCAAAGGTGTAAAAAAGTGTCGCAGCCCTTTGAAAAAAGTATAACACCAAGAGAACTGAATTTTGCGTTCGAGAAAATAGTGGAAGTAATCCAATCTCACGAGTTCAGTGACGACATAGCCAAAATTCGAAAAAATAAACCGGTAGCAACGAATATACAAAAACTAAGCCCTTTTCTTCAGGAGAAAAAATTAGATTGGTGTTCCTCGACATTGCTGCGAGTTGGGGGTCGGTTATTGAATGCTCCAATCCCGTACGAAGCCAAATTCCCGTTGTTGTTGTCGAAAGGCTCACAGTTTGTTAAAACGTACGTGTCATACCTGCACGTTACAAATTGTCATGCTGGCCCTCGAGCTCTCGTAAGTCTGTGGCGAGAAAAGATATGGTTGGTAAATGCGCAGGAAGTTTGCCGCAGAACAGTTCGTTCTTGCGTTCGTTGCTTTCGGTGCAAGCCGCAACTCTTGACGCAAATCATGGGGAACTTGCCATCAGACAGACTTCGAGCTCTCCGCCCTTTTAATATCTGTGGTGTTGATTTTTGTGGCCCATTTAACACAACGTATCGTATCCGTGGTAAGCCACCGTACAAATCATACGTGGCATTGTTTGTATGTTTTGCGTCCAAAGCGGTCCACTTAGAGTTAGTGTCTGACCTCACCACTGATGCGTTCTTGTTGGCATTCCAAAGGTTCGTGAGTCGACGCGGGATTCCGGAGAAGGTGTGGTGCGACAACGCGACGAACTTCGTCGGAGCCGATCGCCACATGAGAGAGTTCCGGGCCCGTCTGGAGGAGCAGGGGGGCGGTATCGCAACATTCGCGTTAAGAAAAGGATGCGAGTTTGCGTTCATACCGCCCAGAGCACCTCACTTCGGCGGACTATGGGAGGCAGGTGTGAAGTCTGCAAAGCACCTGTTCCTTCGGACGGTCGGCGAAGACATCCTGACCGCGGAGGAGCTCGGAACTCTCCTCATCAGCGTGGAGGCCGTGCTCAACTCCAGGCCCCTCGGAGCGATCAGCACGGATCCCAACGACGGCGAAGCCATAAGCCCAGGCCATCTCCTGATCGGCGGTCCCCTCTTAGCTCCACACTCAGCAGCGCTCCCAGACCAAGTCAGCCCAACCTGCTTACGACGATGGCGCAGTGTCTCGTCCACTAATGCCTCTAAACGAAGCCGTAAAAAAATCCAGAAATTTTAATATTCAAGCAGCCCTTCACACTTCTTCAGAAGTGGAAGATGAAACACCATCCCTTGACGAATATAACGAAACCATAAAATCACAGGACGAATCACAATCTGAATATCCCGAATCCCTAACAGAATATTCTGAATCCATAAGCCAAGCCGACCAAGAATACCAATATGATTATACCTACCTTCATTTTTTAGACTAACAAACTCCTCATTGCCATATTTTGAATGCAAACTGAGGAGTGGAGAAATTTTAAAAATATTAATTGATACCGGTTCAAACAATAATTACATCTTGCCAAAATTCGTAAAAAATCCTATAGAAAATAAATCCCCGTTTGACGCCATCTCGGTTGGCGGAAGTATTAAAATTGCACATCACAAATCAGCCAATTTATTTAACGACCTTAATACAATAATTAAATTTTTTTTATTACCGACTTTAAAAACATTTGATGCCATTCTGGGAAACGACAGTTTAAAAAATTTAGGAGCAATAATTAACACTAATACCAAATCTATGCACTTAAAAAATGGAACAACAATCAATATTAAAGAAAAAAAATTCAAAGCTGTAAATTTAATTATTCCTCGGACAGATCATCTTACTGGGACACAAAAATCAGATCTTAACCAACTTATTCAGAAATATCCTAATCTTTTTGCCGAACCAAACGAAAAATTGACTTACACAACAAACGTGAAAGCTAAGATACGTACAAACACTGACACACCAGTCTACTCGAAATTCTATCAATATCCAATGGCACTCAAAGACGAAATTGACCGACAAATAAAAGAACTTTTAGACACCAATATAATACGACCCTCTAGATCGCCTTACAATTCACCAGTGTGGATTGTACCAAAAAAATTAGATGCCTCAAATGTAAAGAAATATAGAATGGTAATAGATTACAGAAAATTAAATAGTGTTACAATAGCAGACAGATACCCGATACCAGACATAAATGCAGTTCTTGCACAACTGGGAAATAATAAAATGTTTTCTGTGTTAGATCTCAAAAGGGGTTCCATCAAATTCTTTTAAAAGAAAGCGATATAGAAAAGACAGCCTTCTCCGTGAATAACGGAAAATTTGAGTTCACAAGACTTCCATTTGGACTGAAAAACGCTCCATCTATTTTTCAGCGTGCCCTAGACGACATTCTTAGGGAACACATAGGGAAAATCTGTTATATTTATATCGATGACATAATTGTCTTCAGTCCAGACGCACAATCTCATTCAAAAAATTTATGGGCTACGCTGCACTAGCAAAACCACTCACCACATTACTTAGAGGCGAGGATGGGAGAATTTCGAAGAAAGCTTCATCGATGAAATCTATTCACTTCAACAATGAAGCCATTCAGGCCTTTAATAAATTAAAAAGCACCCTAATTTCAGAAGACGTAATATTACAATATCCAAATTTTAACGAGGAATTTGTATTGACAACAGACGCCTCCGATCACGCAATTGGAGCAGTACTTTCACAAAAAGACAGACCTATAGCTTTCATATCTAGAACACTATCTCAAACCGAAGAAAACTACGAAACGGCAAAGAAAGAAATGTTTGCCATTTCATGGGCAGTAAAAACACTTAGAGGATATCTCTACGGTGGAACCGAGGTTAAAATCTATACTGACCACGAACCACTTACACACGATTGTAATTGGAAGGGAGGGATAGCGATCAAGAGATGGAAATCATATCTTGACGAATATAATAAAAAATTACTTTATAAACCCGGAAAGGAAAACATAGTGGCCGATGCTTTGTCTAGGATCCCCATAAGCAACCAAATTAACTCATTAACAGCAACACAACACAGCGCGCAGAGCTCTGGTCATAACCTTATCCCCAGCGTCGAAGTACCAATAAATGCTTTTAAGAATCAGATATTTATTTACAAAGAAAACCCCCCCGACTACAAATTTACTATTCCGTTCCCCACCTTTCATAGACACGTTATAACTCGACCAGACTTTCAGAATATTGATCTTATTGAAATATTAAAAAAACATTTAAATCCGTCAATCCTAAACGGAATTTTCACATCAGAAGAGATAATGGGAGAGATACAGCGAATTTATCCGGAACATTTCGGATCCATTAAAATCAGATTCACAAAAAATAAAGTAGAAGATTTGACAGAAGAAACTAAGCAGGAAGAATTAATATTAGAAACACATAACAGAGCACATAGAAACGCAGAAGAAAACAAAAACCAACTTGCAGAAAAATATTATTTCCCCAAAATGAAACAAAAAATAACAACATTAGTCAAACAATGCAGGGTATGTAAAGAAGGCAAATATGATAGACATCCCCCCAATCCAGAAATTAAAGAAACCCCAATTCCTGAATACCCTAGACACATAATCCACATTGACATTTTTTCAACAGAAAAGAAATTATTATTGACCGCAATAGATAAATTTTCCAAATTAGCACAGGCAAAAATTATAAAATCCAAATCCACTGAAGACATTAAAAAACAGTTACACGAAATAATATTCTACTATGGAGTACCCAAATTTATAGTAATGGATAATGAAAAAGCTTTTAATTCAGCATCTATTACCTTTATGATGAGAGATCAATTAAATATAACCATTTTTAAAGCTCCTCCCTACAAAAGTTCAGTTAACGGACAGATTGAACGATTTCATTCGACCCTTTCGGAAATAATGAGATGCCTTAAAACCAAACAAATATACAACACCTTTGAAGAATTATTAGACAGAGCCATTTACGAATACAATTACACAATACATTCAGTAACGAAGAAAAGACCATTAGAAATTTTTTTTGGCAGAAATATTAATACCGACCCAGAACAATATGAAAAAAGCAGGCAGGCTAACATAGAAAAACTTAAACAAAAGCAATTAATAGTTTTAGAAAACCACAACAAAGAAAGGAAACCTATAAAATCATATCTACCAGGACAAGAAATATACGTAAAACAAAACACCAGACTAGGCTCTAAATTATCCCCACGTTTTAAAAAAGAAATTGTCAAAGAAAACAGGAATACAACTATTTTAACAGAAGCAGGAAGGGTAGTTCATAAAAGTAATATTAAAGGTAACTAAGTCCGAAAACTCCTTAGGGAATTTTGTCCACGTCAGTCCAAAACTAAAAAACTTAAAAAAAAAAAAATATAATAAATAAGATTACCTATAACGTTTACAGCTGTTGTCCGCTTGGGGTTATCAGTCCGTTCGTGAGTGATCGGCCCATAACCCTACAATACCGTTGTTTAATGAGGCAATCGCGACCACCGACATAACAAATTATACCGATGCACATACCATAACAATTCATAAGGGTATAGGAAAATTACAGATATCAACAATAAAATTAATTCACGTCATAAATTTAAAACAGATTGAAACGGAACTATTACAAATAAGAGAACACACAATAAACAGATTACAAAATAGTTTACATTATCACACTCTGACACACGAAATAATTCAATCACTTTCTGCTCTAAGCACACTTACCCTAACAACAAAAAGCCGTCAAGCTAGGTCAATAAATATGATTGGCTCAGCTTGGAAATATATCGCAGGTAACCCAGATCACGAAGATTTAGTTATGATAGAAAGTAACCTCAATAATTTAATTAAAAATAACAACGACCAAATTATTATCAATAATCAGCTTCAAGACAGAATAAATAATTTAACAACCACTTCCAATATGCTAGCAAATTCAATTCAAAAAGACAGATTTTTTAATAATGATATTGCGTCGAGCTTGCAAACGCAAGTTAGACTTATGAAAGAAGAAATAGGAAACATTAAATTTGCAATAAAATGGGCTAAAATTAACGTAATTAATACTCTCTTGTTAAACGAACCTGAACTTAACGAAATAAATAAAATATCTCAAAAAAATAACATTACCTCGTTTTCAATTGAGGAAACACTGGAATTTGTTGATGTGTCTGTCTTACATAATAAAACAACCATAACTTACTTAATAAAAATACCTGAACTCGAACCAACTAACTATGAAAATCTTCTTTTAAAGCCTGTCATCAGAAACCAATTAATAATACATTTAGAAACTAATGAACTTTTTATATCAAACAATGTAATACTAGGCCTACCCCATGATTGTAAAACTTCAAACCATGTTAAAATTTGTAAAAAAGGAAAAATTGTTAATTTAAGTAATTCAAAATGTATTTCAAAACTAGCTCAGGGAAAGGAATCGCTGTGTGATTATAGTAACTCGGACCACATTGAACCAATAGAGCAAATAGACGATGGCATACTACTCTTAAATGACTTTAACGGCAGCCTAATTTCAAACAATATTTCACATCAACTCGAAACTATAAATATAAATGGAAAAAATTTTACAAACAAAGAAAAAGTAATAATGAAACCCGAAATCCCACGAATTCAAATTACCCCATTGCAAGCACAACGCGTTCAAATTCTGTCATTAGAAGCATTGGAAGCTCTACATATCAAAAATAGAAAGCACTTACAAACCTTACAGAATGATTCTACAATAAACCGAATAACCACAGTAACATTAATTTGCGCCATTGTTCTTGCTTTGATCGTATTAAAAAACTGTATTCACAGAAAAGAAAAAGTAATCCTACATATCCAAGAACCGCCTCCACAAATTTTAAACAACAAAACTAATATTATATCAATTCCTAAAAAAATAATACCAGAATTTAATAATATTCCCTATTTCTAACACCTCTTGAGGACAAGCAGGTTTTTAAGGAGGGAGAGTTAATCACAGAAATATTTCTACATTTTTTCCGAGAAATATTGCAACATTGTCGATGGCAACATTGCAACATTTCAATACAACGGTCAAGAGCCCGAAAGTTCAATAACATAAACACACCAAGAACCCCCAAGTTCAATAACATAAACACATGCATCCGGTCAGCAGCCACAGCGCAGTACCAAAATGCCGATTCTGCAAACCTTGCAGTTTCAGCCGCTCCAACAGAACTAGGCCACCGCCACGGTCTCTTCCGCGACGTCGACTTCGCTGCCCCAACCCACAGCTTAGATCAGGGAATTTTTAAATGAATAAAATCAGTATCAAATTGAACTCCGAATAAATCAAACGTTCAAAACTTATTTTTGGGTTTTTATTATCCTGGAAATTAACTTACATATTAGTTCGATTTGGTTGTTCGCGTAGATCACTTGCAGTCTGTTACCAAGCATCACGGATGCTGTCGACGCTGCGGGAATGCCGTGTACGCCTCTTCAACAGTGAAGCGATTTTTCCGCTGAATATAATAGATCACGCCGAAAACAACTAGAATTATAGCCACCAATGTGCAGGTTACGGGCACAACTACGACTGAAAGCTGATATTGACGCTGGGCTTCATACATGTTTATGGTGACCTGATTTAGTGACTGGGAAACCTCACTGGACAAAATATAGTATGAAATTTAGAATTGGATTTGATGGAATGGAATGTTTTCGATAAAGTGATTGCAATAATGACGGACAAAGTCACTACCTTTAATCTTGTAGTATCATGCCCAGTTGTTAAGGCTGCACTTTTTTACGGCATTTGCAAAATTGAGAACAGCACAAGGAGATCAGCCGTATAGTCTTATACAAGAACACACCCGTTAAAACAGCGCCCTCAACATGGTCAAAAGATTTTAACTGCTCAAAACTGAATTAGTATTAGTTTTGTGGCCTCCCATCATATCAGTGGAGCCAGACGAACTTTCATCCACCAATGTGTAGGCATTGTCCTTAACTGGGTACGTCCAGCAAATTAAATTCGTAATCAATAATAACATTATTTTCATGAAATTCGTGAAGAATGATGATCTCGAAAATTTGTTGTTTAATTGTAATCAGCATTTACTGATAAAAGTGCAATGAATTACTTATTAAAATATGATGAATTACTGATTAAAGAGCGATGAATTACTGATTAAACAGAGACTTTTTACCAGTAATTCATCACATTTTCATTAGTAATTCTTCACATTTTTATCAGTAGAACATTGCTTTTTCACCGCTTTTTCATCAGTAATTCATAGCTTTTTCACCCCATTTTCATCAGTATTTCATCGCTTTTTCATCGCATTTTCACCGCATATTCGTCAGTAAATAAACACATCATTTTATCAATACTTCCATTTATTTAAATATAATATTTTCTTACATTTAATGGTTATTATCAATTATTATAAATCTAAGTATTAATCATAATTCAATATACGTTTTCAGTTGTCTAGGAGTTGTTGAGGATGATGATACCGAAACCTCGGTACTTTTGGGCACCTTTTTTTGACTTCGTTCTTTATGTGCTGGCTCTTCCTGACCAAGTATATCTAAAATAAAAAAATTATTATAAAATATATAAAAACTTACTGCGTTTCTTGTTTTGCCGCCGGCCAAGTCCAGCTTAGTTTATGCTGGCCAAACAGTTTTATTATAAGCTTCACCTTAAAAATTGAATTAATATATTAACAGTATATGTAGGTACAGTTTAAAATAATTAAATAAATAAAAATCTCAGCTTCGATCTGTTCTCTCCGTTCTCTCAAATGCAAGTGCATGTAAAAACAGCGAAAACAGCTTCAGTTGAGAACAAGGGCACCGTTATTCCTAATGTTATTTTCTTTGCCTAATTTGTATATAAAAGCATGTTCGACTATTCAAAATAATTACATTATTTAAATTTACCTAATTAATGAATCTATATTTTCAAAACTATCATAACGTATGTTATCTTAAAACATATATCTATAAAATAATATAATTAATAAGTATCGACATAAATATTTATTACCAAAAAATAATTAGTTATTTTAATTTCAAGGGTGTGCAGCGGACGTTGTGATTTTTATAGGCTGTCCCCCACCACCCAGCTCATCTTATGGGGAGAGAGACAAAGTAAGAGAGGGCGATGGAAATTTTTCTGCGTTTCCTACGATCGGCGATTGAGAGTTTCGGCTCTGCCTGCGTCGCATTCAGCTCTGCCGACTTTGCCTTTGGCTCTGCCGGCGGCGCAGTTTGCTGCTAATGAATTTTTGTAGTGATCTGCAGGGTTTTTACAGCTATTATTATTCTACTGGTTAGTTCTAGACTGCTAGTAGACACTTACCATTGGTCCGATCGGTTGAGACGCTCGAGAAAAAGTGTCCTGCCTTAAGCGTGGCTCCACTTTATACAGGGGAAGAGCCCAAATAAACGTAACAACCATTCCTAAATATTGTGATGCGGGGCGTCACAAAGTAATTGGATTAACATCAAGTTGGATACAAATTTGTGATGTAACGAAGGTTATTTATTCCACCGTCAACCTATATAAGATATAGACGACCGATCCGCTGTAATTTGTTAGCTAACCGAGACAACCTTTTTGTAGCATATTTTTTATATTTATATTTTATATATTTACATTTAAAAACCATCAAATTCCATACGAATACGACACGTATTTCGACTAGGTTCATAATCCAGAATATTTTGTTTGTTTTGGGTCGGAGTTGTCATCTCTGCTTTACAAACATCTGACCAACAGATGGTACCTTAGGGGTCGTTTAAAAATAATCAGTGTTTGCAATTACTACTCCGTTGTAGCGAGATGAATACAAATATTACTATTCTATTGCTATCGCTCTGTTTTTGACGAGAGCGGTAGCAGAGCCATAGCAGAATAACGAGAAAGTTTGTGCTCTGCTCTGCTCGCAGTTTTGTCGATTGAGAAACTGCAAAAAATTGATAGCGAGATGAGAGCAGAGCACTTGCTATTTTTTCATGTGCTAAGGCTCTCGCTTGTGTTCCTTTTTTTTATTTTCTTCGCCTTTCTTATGCAGCGTGTTCTTTTTATACCCTTGCAGAGGGTATTATAATTTTGGTCAAAAGTGTGCAACGCAGTGAAGGAGACATCTCCGACCCTATAAAGTATATATATTCTTGATCAGGATCACCTCCTGAGTTGATATAGCCATTTCCGTCTGTCTGTCCGTCTGTCTGTTTCTACGCGAACTAGTCTCTCAGTTTTAAAGATATCGAATTCAAACTTTGCACACACCCTTCTTTCCTTTGCACGCAGTATATAAGTCGGAACGGCCGGGATCGGCCGACTATATCCTATAGCTGCCATATAACTGATTAATCGGAAATGCCATAACTCTGCTGTTTGTTAAGTTAGGAAGTTGGAACTTTCTATGGGTTTTATATTTGGCCAATCAATACGACGTACCAAATTTCATAAGGATCGGCCGACTATATCCTATAGCTGCTATATAATTGATTGATCGGAAATGCCATAACTTTGGTGTTTGTAAAGTTAGAAAGTTGGGATTTTCTATGGGTTTTATATTTGGCCAATTAATCCGACCTACCAAATTTCATAAGGATTGGCCGACTATATCTTATAGCTGCCCTATAACTGATTGATCGGAAATGCCATAACTTTGGTGTTTGTTAAGTTAGGAAGTTGGGACTTTCTATGAGTTTTATTTTTGCCCAATCAATCCGACATATCAAATTTCATAAGGATCGGCCGACTATATTCTATAGCTGCCATATAACTGAACGACTGGAAACGCCATAACTTTGGTGTTTTTAAAGTTAGGAAGTTGGGATTTTTCATGAGTATTAAGAATGCATCATATGAATAATTTTGGAGAATATAATTTGCAGAATATTCTGCAAGGGTATTTCAACTTCGGCTCCGCCCGAAGTTAGCTTTCCTTTCTTGTTACTTGTCGCTTTGCCAGAATGAGAAAGAAAATATTTTCTGTCAGAATAAAGTGGTTTGAAATAATAAATAATAGTATTTTATTCAAAAACTAAAAATCAAAGTAAAAACGTATATTCATTCACAGTATTCAGATTAAATCAAACTTAAAAATTAAAAGCCCCAGAATTCAAATTAATGTATGAAGTAAATGTTAATTAAATATAAAAAAGTAAAAAGAAATAAGAACTTATGCATTTAGAAACACGAATTACCCCTCATCTTCTTCGTCTTCAAATAAACTTAAATTGTCGATGGCACTATCCAAGTGAGTTGAGTTAAGCCGGACAAGAAGAATATTTTCCAATGTTTCGTGACTTAATCGATTTCGGTTATCCGACAACACCAGTTTTAAAGACGAAAACGCCCGCTCAATTGTTACCTACAAATATAAAGAAATTTAAACACTTGTTAATAAATATTTTGTTTTAAATTAAGTTATAATTCTTACTTGAGTTGGTGGATAGCAAAGCATACTTTGCTTAGGGCATACAGCTCTGGATCGCTTAATTTCCTTACTTTCCAGAAATTTAAAACATTTTCACTAGATTTCATAAACGGCAATTTCAACGATTCAATCTTTCCATGGACATCTGTTGACTCATTCGGAACAATGTTAGCACTTAAAAAGTCGTCCAAAAGATCGAAATTACTCCTGTGCTGCTGCTTAATGACTGGCCGTTTGCCACCTGCTCCAGCCGCTCTTCCAGCTCGTCCAGGTATGGAGATAGTGGCGCCTGTTGCTGCTGCAACTGCTGGATTGGCTGGGCGCTGGTGCTTCTTACTTGATGAGGCGATTGGTTGTGATGATGGTTAGTGGTGTCGAGGGGACTAGCGCCAATCAACTTATCTGTTGGATTGCCATCTAACCTGCTGGTGCCCGTATCCCCCATGGCATCGTACCGCTGGACGGGTGAGGTGGTGGACACTCGACTCTGGTCGCTGGAGGTCGGATAGCTGTAGCCATCACCGCGACTGGAGAAGACGGGCAGGAACCAGTACTGCCAGTCGTCACCAAATACCTCGCAGAAATTGGCGTATCGGCCCAAGTTATAGCCATTCTTATCTGGTCCGCCAACGCGGAAGATGGGAGCCCGAAACGACTCCAGAGTCGTGCGATTCACCAGCACCAGGTAGATGTGGTAGCCAAACAAACTCACCAAACTAATGGCAAACATTAAGGCAATGAAGAACAGGAACAAGATGTGGAATCGTCCCATTCCGGTGGCATTTAGCTGTCCCTTCCAGAAATCGACAAAATCGTGCAGCGCTGTGAAGGCCACGTACAGGCAGTAGACGAGCGCATAGCCCAAGAACAGGACAAAGTACTTGTAGTTGTAGAAGTTAACGCAGTTGTTCACCCAGGGGCAGTGGTGGTCCATCTTCAGCACGCAGCAGCTGCACACGCTGCAGTGGTGCGCCCGGTCTGGCTTGATGATCTTGCACTTCTCGCAGAACCGCACAGATAATTTCATTGTGCGATTTGTGACTGGCAGATCGCGCGCAAAGTTGTTAAGTATGCGTTTCTGGGTGTCTGGGCTGTCGGCCCGGAAAAGTCGAGTCACTTCCTCGTCCGGTATCCGCCACTGATCAGGCATTCGGCCCACGGACGTCATAATGGTACGCCAGTAGGACCACATAAACAGGGTGAGGAAAATGTGATAGAACAGCAGCATGAATATCATACCGATGCGGTTTTGCGAGTTGCGGATGCACAGCTCCACCACGTAGGCATAGTAGGACCAGGCTATCACCGCAGTGATGAATAGCACCGGGATCCACTTGAAGACCGCCATACATGCCGGTGTCATGTTTACGCAGTTAATCAAAACTCAAAAGTGCCAAAAATATTTTCTTAAAACTACAAAGCGACAAGTAAAAAGAACACGCTGCATAAGAAAGGTGCAGAAAATAAAAAAAGTAACACAAGCGAGAGCCGTAGCACATGAAAAAATAGCAAGTGCTCTGCTCTCATCTCGCTATCAATTTTTTGCTACCGTTACTGCTACACAGAGCACAGGACTTGATTTTCTGCTACCGCTATGCTACAGTTTCTCAAGCGACAAAACTGCGAGCAGAGCAGAGCACAAACTTTCTCGTTATTCTGCTATGGCTCTGCTACGGCTCTCGTCAAAAACAGAGCGATTGCAATAGCCAAACCAAATACTACGAGAGTAGCGTAGCTTTTCAAACGCTGAAAATAATCATTCAAAATCAGCACAGATGGCAGAGTTCACGCGCTACATTGTCGCTGGAGATTTCGACAACGTTCACGGATTTCGCACACGACTGCGTTGCAAGCATAAATACAAAAGCACACTACGGCTTAATTTATTTTAAACTAAATCTTAATTTAAATAGATTTCTGGTAAACAACCAGGCGTTTTTTTTTTGATACGGAAGGAAAAGAATATTTATTGTGCCTCAGCCATGTTTTGCACGTTTTTATTTAGTCTAAAACATGGTTATATCAGAATATATCCGACCAATAGGCCTACGTATGGTAAGCCCTTGTAAAATACAAAAAAAATGTCGCCCTTAACTCGATAACCAGTTATTCGACATTCATGTGTATGCCACCCAAAAAAACACGGATGCCAGCCTCCACACATTTCGTTTAAGACATTTTTTTATGAAAACCATTCACTTTTACGATTACTTTGCTTTTTGAAACTCCTGATGCGGAAAAAAGAAATGAACAGCCTTCTGCCACTTGCATAAAAAACGATACCTGCACAGTATGATTGAAAATCACATCCAATAACAGATCTAATTTTAAACCTGTCATCCAGATCATGATACAATAACATAAGGTAGTCTCGTCGGCTGTCTAAACGTTCGGATTTTGGTCAGAGCGTGTTCGTTTTTTGAAGAGAAAGGTTGTGCAACATGATTTTTTGCAATGTATGAAAGATGCCTTAATAATCGCAGCCGAGTATGCTAGTATTAGTTTATATCAAGATTAGATTAGATTATTTTAGAATTCAGAATCTTAACAAAAGAAAAAAACAACGCCTAATTTAAAATTCAGTTAGAAAAAAAATTAATCGCTTTGTATTATTAAAGGGAAAATAAAACCCCTTGAACCATTTAAGTGTTAATCCAGACATTCTATTGTCGTTTCGCTCGCACTTACTAAGCAGAATCAATTTCACTTGCACAAGTTGTTATGATTGTAGAGCTACCGACACTAGCTTATGTTGTTGCGTCTCAAAAAATTTAAAAAAAGATTAAAAATGATTAAAGTGGGACAATTAAAAAAAACAAAATTTATTGGTTTAAAACTGTAGGAGACATTATACGTAATGTTTTATATTTACCGATTTCTTACGGTTCTGGGAGGCCTTTGGAGCCAATTTAAACACAGACATAATGGGAATGTAGAAACAAAGACAAAAATGCATAATTTTATGTATAAAGGCTTGGGCTATTGTGAGTGATGACGCAATTCGACCGTAAGTTGTATAGGTGTAGTAGATAATAATATAAATACGTTTAACTAATAACTTTAACTGAACATTTCAATACTATTTATTTGAGGGCGCAGACGGAGAAGTATGTACACGTACATTTTTCCTCACACTGACAACGTTTAGTTGCGAATGCTACATTTTAAAATATTAGTTGGCAGTTACTCTGCTATTCATGTAGAATTGTTGTGCCGAGAGCAGCAATGTCAACACGTAGATGCAAGCTGCAATCCAACAATTGTAAGCATTCTGAAAAGAAAACACGTTCACAATAATTATTTGCGAAGAAGACCTCGAATCAACGTACCTGATTGTACGCTCTGTTAGCAGCTGCATAAAAATCTTCCAAGGAATGGTATTCTTCTTCTAGGGGTAAATCCTCAATAAGAGCCACGCTATTGATGTAGAAAAATAGTCCCATGAGAACCTAAAACATAAAAAACACTTTAACCTTTCTGAAAAAACCTCAAACCTTGTGACTGTCACAAATTCGAGAGTTCATGTACACATGTACATTGTACGTACTCACCAGTTGGACAATGCCCCAAACAGAGATGATCAGACCGCAGAGGGACAACTTGGGACCACAGATTTTCATTTTTCGGGGTTTTTAAAAAAGGCTGATAAAGTAAAATAATCTTATATTTTATTTAAACCCAAAATTAATTTTATTCTGCAGCGACAATTTCTTTAGTGTCGAACCTAACCAGAGAACAGTCAGGTGAATATATCATGTGACCAACATTCAGTGTGGCCGTTGTCGTTTAAGGAAAAAACAATAGCGCGACAACAATATTATTTTTTAAAATACTGAATTAATATCTCTATTATTTCATTCTGATAGCCAGGTTCCACTGGGACAAGTTTTTACAATTTAAAGCCCAGTATCCAGATCGACAAACGATTACGCTAGCGTAAAAACTTTAATCTTTCAGTGTGACCAAAAGCTTGAGAGTTCATCAGATTTAAGCGTGCTACGGTCGTACTGTCAATCAGCTGGGTTTGTTGACAAGCAGTTAAAATTCAAATATCGTATTTGCGGGAAAAAGCCTTTAAAAAATATTATCAAATACCTTGGCAAGACAAGTCTGCCGCTGGACAAAGAAATTAAAAAACAATACATTTTAAATTTAACAGTTGTTTTTTTTTAATTTACTGATAATTATTTGCTTTTATTGTGTTTTTTCGTACATTCTGGACTTAAAAAACATTTTGCTCTGACAAGAGGCACCTCAATAGACTTTTGTGAGTTTTTGAGTTTTTCCCTCAATTTCTTATAATTTTCAGTGAGAAGCGCATGCCAAAAGATTAAATTTTTTAATCTTTTCGCTAGGGTTCACCCAAAGTTCATTTCCGCAGACTGGCAACGCTATGGAATTTTTTGGTATTTTTTTCGTCGATCAGGGGACCGACGTGAAAAAAAGGCCCGACGAAAAGTGAACGCCAGCTGTTTGCCTCTCGCTCTCTCTCATGACTGGTGTACGGTTATCGTCGATCTGGATACTAGGCTTTAAAGCCTAGTACACAGAACGAAAAATGAGTGTGCCAGCGAAAATCTTTAATCTTTCAGGTGTGACTGCATTTTTGAGAATTCTTCCGTATTGAGCGTCCTGGGGTCGTACTTTCAATAAGCTGGGCTTGTTAACAAGCAGTTTAAAAACTACTTCCGTAAGACTTGTCTGCCGCTATACAAAGAATTTAGAAAACAATATAATTTAAATATAAAATTTCTTTATATTTTAATTACTGATAATTATTTGATAATTTAGAGCGCTTAGTTCTTGCAGGCTATTTTTCTAAGTTTTTTGTTGTGTTTTCAGTCAATTTTGACTTAAGAAACACTCTGCTCTGACAACAAAAACCGCAAAAGATTACATATTTTAAGCCTACTATCCACTTCGACGTAAACCGTACACCAGTCATGAGAGAGAGCGAGAGGCAAACAGCTGGCGTTCACTTTTCGTCGGGCCTTTTTTTCACGTCGGTCCCCTGATCGACGAAAAAAATACCAGAAAATTCCATAGCGTTGCCAGTCTGCGGAAATAAAGTTTGGGTGAACCCTAGCGAAAAGATTAAACAATTTAATCTTATGGCGTGCGCTTCTCACTGAATATTATAAGAAATTGAGGGAAAAACTCAAAAAACTCACAAAAGTCGATTGCAAGTGTTTCCATGTGAGGACAAAATAACATTAATACCGGGTGCCTCTTGTCAGAGCAAAATGTTTTTTAGGTCCAGAATGTACGAAAAAACACAATAAAAGTGCAGCTATGAACTTTAAATTGGCAAATAATTATCAGTAAATTAAAAAAAACAACTTTTAAATTTAAATTGTATTGTTTTTTTATTTCTTTGTACAGCGGCAGACTTGTCTTGCCAAGGTATTTGATAATATCTCTTAAAGGCTCTTTCCCGCAAATACGATATTTGAATTTTAACTGCTTGTCAACAAACCCAGCTGATTGACAGTACGACCGTAGCACGCTTAAATCTGATGAACTCTCAAACTTTTGGTCACACTGGAAAGATTAAAGTTTTTACGCTAGCGTAATCGTTTGTCGATCTGGATACTAGGCTTAACTTTTGAATATGAAATTATAATAAAATAATTTAGACAATCTTGGGCAATAGCTATTCATATTTTATCTGCAGGCTGGCAAAAATCTGCAGACGTATTAGTTCGATTTGGTTGTTCGCGTAGATCACTTGCAGTCTGTTACCAAGTATCATTTATAACGCTGTTGTGCTCATTTTAAATGTTGTGCAAAATGCAACGGGCTAAAATGATGAGCCACAGCTGTTCAGATCAGCTGTTATCGGATGGTGGATGGTGGATGTGCTCTGTGGGAATCGGAGTTTCACATTTGTCAAAAATCCCAACCGTTTCAGACGGATGGACTCTATGGGAAGAGGGCATAATGCCCACAGAGATCCATCCACCATCCATTGAAAAGTTGGGGTCCATAAGGTTTTGCCGTTCCGAACATTCCCAGTTAGTTCCTCATCCAAATTTGACGGACTTTTTTATGCGATAGTTAGGCGATGTTTTTTCGGTGCAACTCTGAGTTCTTCTTCTTGACAGTGAAAATTGGAAAATTCAATACGAAAATTTAAAAAAGAATGACGGGTAACTTTTCAAAAAGGAAGGCGCCAAATCAAAAACTGCTGTTTATACTTGTAATAATCAACTAATTACTGCTCCATCCGTGTGGCAGCATAAAGGGCTGCTCCACTCTTTCCTAGGCGCATACCGTACTCACAACATGGAGCAGAACACCTTGGAGAACGAGAGTATGTCCCCAGACTTTATGACGGTTTGTCGCTGTAGCATGGCTCAGGGATGGCCAGGGTTCGTCACAGAAAGTTGTTTGTGTCAGGCGTGGTTGCTGAAAGAGAATTCCGACCCAGCCCAGAGTCGAAGTCGTGGAGAATTACACAGTAATTCATTATAATTATTTCGTTTATTTCGGTTTATTTCGGTAAGATTCTTGACATTTGATTGATTCTGACCAACGGATTCCCCTGACTGGCGGTGTGCCGCCCTTGCTGCTCTCGTTTCCCTCGTCCAATCCGACTAACGGGTGGCGGGAGGCGTGTAGCTGCTCGATAGGGACAGCACGGGTTTACGGCTGAGAGAGAGCCGGGACCTGAAATGAGAGTATCGGATGGCCCTTGGCCGGTAATCACCCGCCTACGGGCGATGATTTGGGTGCTTGGGGACCTTAATATCAGCCACAAGAGAAGGAGAATCGGGGGACCCTAAAGTCACCCGCTAGAGCGAGAGAGAGTAAGTTGCTTGGGGACCCTGAAGTCAGCCACAAGAGAGAGACGGTTCGGTGCTTGGGGACCCTAAAAACAGCCACAAGAGAGAGAGAGTATGTTGCTTGGGGACCTAAAGTCAGCCGCAAGAGAGAGAGAGAGTATGTTGCTTGGGGAAGGCTGGAGGAGAAAGGCTGGAGGAGCAGCACGCTCGGAGTTTCACATTTGTCAAAAATCCCAACCGTTTCCGACGATGGAAACTGCTAATCCAATTTTATTTAAAGTGGAAACAATAAAAGAAAATTGGCAAAAAAAAAAATAAAAAATAAAGTAGGGTTATTTAAAAGTGATTATTCCGGACTAAATAGAGTTCATGAAGAACACATAAAAGCCCGTAACTTCAAAGAGTTAAATGAATTAATTCAATTTGATCATTCCTACGTACTCGAAACAAGTCTATTTAAAATGGAGGATAATTTCAAATAGGCAAATAAGGCGATAAGCCAAAGCTTATAAGCCCTTGCAGTTATTACAAAACGAGTACATTTCGGTTTCTATGCCTATGTTACTAAAAACAATGCGGCTATACTGAGTTTGCGCTGGATTCTGATTCTGCTTAGTAAGTGCGAGCGAAACGACAATAGAATGTCTGGATTAACACTTAAATGGTTCAAGGGGTTTTATTTTCCCTTTAATAATACAAAGCAATTAATTTTTTTTCTAACTGAATTTTAAATTAGGCGTTGTTTTTTTCTTTTGTTAAGATTCTGAATTCTAAAATAATCTAATCTAATCTTGATATAAACTAATATAACTCACACATTGCAAAAAATCATGTTGCACAACCTTTCTCTTCAAAAAACGAACACGCACTGACAAAAATCCGAACGTTTAGACAGCCGACGAGACTACCTTATGTTATTGTATCATGATCTGGATGACAGGTTTAAAATTGGATCTGTTATTGGATGTGATTTTCAATCATACTGTGCAGGTATCGTTTTTTATGCAAGTGGTAGAACGCTGTTCATTTCTTTTTTCCGCATCAGGAGTTTCAAAAAGCAAAGTACTCGTAAAAGTGAATGGTTTTCATAAAAAAATGTCTTTAACGAAATGTGTAGAAGCTGGCATCCGTGTTTTTTTGGGTGGCATACACATGAATGTCGAATAACTGGTTATCGAGTTAAGAGCGACATTTTTTTTTGTATTTTACAAGGGCTTACCATATGTAGGCCTATTGGTCGGATATATTCTGATATAACCATGTTTTAGACTAAATAAAAACGTGCAAAACATGGCTGAGGCACAATAAATATTCTTTTCCTTCCGTATCACAAAAAAAAAAACGCCTGGTTGTTTACCAGAAATCTATTTAAATTAAGATTTAGTTTAAAATAAATTAAGCCGTAGTGTGCTTTTGTATTTATGCTTGCAACGCAGTCGTGTGCGAAATCCGTGAACGTCGGCAATGGGGAGAAATTCGTCTTGGTCGTCGAAATCTCAAAACCAGAAATGGTTGTGAAATGGGCTCTTCTGATCCAGCGACAATGTAGCGCGTGTAACGACCCTGTTTTGGTAGACGGTATAGCTCGCCGTGGTTAGGGTTCGTGACAGATATTTATATTTTCCTCTATAGATCGATTTACCTCCCTTTTCCCAATAATGACACAGAGGGATAGTACTATAAAGGAGACGTGTATTTCGAAGTAATCGTACAATGTAAGTTGGTCGTGTGGTTGTGTATAGATCAGTCGGGACTGATTGCTTTGTCGATTCGGCGCTTCGGAAGGGCCGAGTGATGAACTGCTTGCTGTCGTGATTCGGCGCTACGGAAGGGCCGAGTAATAAACTGCTTGTTGTCATGACCCGGCGCTACGGAAGGGCCGAGTGATTAACTGCTTGCTTCGTGGAGGTTGATCGGTGAGCTGCTTTCTCCGTGGTCTGGCTCTACGGAAGGGCCAAGAGGTTCACTGCATACTGCGAGCTTCGGCGCTGCGGATAGACCGAGAAGTTGCGTCGGCGCTGCGGATGGGCCGGGAAGTCGCTTCGGCGCTGTAGGAGGGCCGAAAAGTTGCGTCGGCGCTGCGGACGAGAAGTGCACTGCTTCGTCGCGCGTACGTCGGGTTCGTAGTGTTCTGGGTTGTTGAGAGAGATCTACTTGGATTTCTAGTGGGATTCAGGAATATAGGGCATCGTTAGTTTCGGTCTGCCGGGCATCGTTAGGTTAAATTAGGCGTTGTTTTTTTCTTTTGTTAAGATTCTGAATTCTAAAATAATCTAATCTAATCTTGATATAAACTAATATAACTCACACATTGCAAAAAATCATGTTGCACAACCTTTCTCTTCAAAAAACGAACACGCACTGACAAAAATCCGAACGTTTAGACAGCCGACGAGACTACCTTATGTTATTGTATCATGATCTGGATGACAGGTTTAAAATTGGATCTGTTATTGGATGTGATTTTCAATCATACTGTGCAGGTATCGTTTTTTATGCAAGTGGTAGAACGCTGTTCATTTCTTTTTTCCGCATCAGGAGTTTCAAAAAGCAAAGTACTCGTAAAAGTGAATGGTTTTCATAAAAAAATGTCTTTAACGAAATGTGTAGAAGCTGGCATCCGTGTTTTTTTGGGTGGCATACACATGAATGTCGAATAACTGGTTATCGAGTTAAGAGCGACATTTTTTTTTGTATTTTACAAGGGCTTACCATATGTAGGCCTATTGGTCGGATATATTCTGATATAACCATGTTTTAGACTAAATAAAAACGTGCAAAACATGGCTGAGGCACAATAAATATTCTTTTCCTTCCGTATCACAAAAAAAAAAAAAACGCCTGGTTGTTTACCAGAAATCTATTTAAATTAAGATTTAGTTTAAAATAAATTAAGCCGTAGTGTGCTTTTGTATTTATGCTTGCAACGCAGTCGTGTGCGAAATCCGTGAACGTCGGCAATGGGGAGAAATTCGTCTTGGTCGTCGAAATCTCAAAACCAGAAATGGTTGTGAAATGGGCTCTTCTGATCCAGCGACAATGTAGCGCGTGTAACGACCCTGTTTTGGTAGACGGTATAGCTCGCCGTGGTTAGGGTTCGTGACAGATATTTATATTTTCCTCTATAGATCGATTTACCTCCCTTTTCCCAATAATGACACAGAGGGATAGTACTATAAAGGAGACGTGTATTTCGAAGTAATCGTACAATGTAAGTTGGTCGTGTGGTTGTGTATAGATCAGTCGGGACTGATTGCTTTGTCGATTCGGCGCTTCGGAAGGGCCGAGTGATGAACTGCTTGCTGTCGTGATCCGGCGCTACGGAAGGGCCGAGTAATAAACTGCTTGTTGTCATGACCCGGCGCTACGGAAGGGCCGAGTGATTAACTGCTTGCTTCGTGGAGGTTGATCGGTGAGCTGCTTTCTCCGTGGTCTGGCTCTACGGAAGGGCCAAGAGGTTCACTGCATACTGCGAGCTTCGGCGCTGCGGATAGACCGAGAAGTTGCGTCGGCGCTGCGGATGGGCCGGGAAGTCGCTTCGGCGCTGTAGGAGGGCCGAAAAGTTGCGTCGGCGCTGCGGACGAGAAGTGCACTGCTTCGTCGCGCGTACGTCGGGTTCGTAGTGTTCTGGGTTGTTGAGAGAGATCTACTTGGATTTCTAGTGGGATTCAGGAATATAGGGCATCGTTAGTTTCGGTCTGCCGGGCATCGTTAGGTTCGAACTGCCGTTCTACATCCGTTTCGTTTCCGGGTCGGGATCCGGAAACGTGACGTCTGGGGGAACTCTCAGAGGTGGGCCGGTATTACGTAAACCGGGCCGCCTCAGTGATCACGACTGAGTCTGGGCTGATTTCGAGGAAACCAAGCCAGTGATCCTCACTAGGTCGCAGAACCGATTTAAAAAACCGAGTTCTTACGGATCCACCACCAATACCAAGACTATCTACCAGAACACTTACCCGGATATTTCTCCTTGTTGCTGATGTTTCCTCGATGATCGTCGGAACGCTAGTCCCTCATCTGGGGTCTTGCCTCTGCTTATATAGGCCCCGTTGAGTTTGCCCAGAGCGGTCGATGTCGAGAATCCCGATATCGATAACTCGTTATCGGGTCATTAATATAGCGATGGTAGTCGACTGTCGATGTATTGGTGGTGTTAGTGTGGCCAGGTTTGTTAGTCGACTATCGATATATTAGTGTGGCCAGTTTATCGTTTTGGGTGTGCGATTTGAAAGTGCGCGATTTTGGAGCGTGTTTTGAATGTGGTGTGGCGTAGGGAGAATAAAAGATCATTGTGTGTTTTTTTGGAATGTTATTATTATTATTTGTGACGCTGGGTCGTCACACCCCCCTCCGCTTAAGACGTTAATGTCTCCACGGTGTTTTTGTGGACGTATCCACCTCTCCCGATCCGGATTCGGGTCGTGAGATTGTCCGAGACCACCAGTTTCGTCCTTCTATTCCCGCTGCGCCAGGTTGCCTTTAGACGGACGACGCTTCTTCTACCCTTTGCTTGTGGTCGTTGTATTCCCGCGGTTTTGGTTCCCACTCCTCCTCACTTTCCTCCGATAGATTGATCGGTTTTTCTCCGGGATAGTCGAGGGAAGAGAGCCGCCACCCATTTCGTCTGTGGCCGTTGAAAATCCACTAACTCGTGCCATTTTGTGCCGGTTGTTGTCCTGGGCATGGGGGGTCGTGCTTCGTTGTCCGTTGTTTGTCGTGTCGTTTCCTTGGTTGTTGTTGTTGCCATCGTTTGCCGTGTTGTTGCTGCGGTTGTTTCCTTGGTTTTTGGTGTCGCCTTCGTTTGCCGTGTTGTTGCTGTGGTCGTTTCCTTGGTTGTTGGTGTCGCCTTCGTTTGCCTTGTTGTTGCTGTGGTCGGTGTCAAAATTGGTTGCCTGGCTGGCGCTTGTCTGCCTACCGGGGCGGCCCTGGTTGGCTTCCTGCAACCAGCTGGACCTGCCACGTCCACGGCTCCGAGTATAATCACCCATCGCCGCTGTTGGTTGAGCATTTGGAGGCTCTTCTGGTACTTGGAGAGCGAGCTTTTTAGTTTCTTGTCCATTCTGAAAAATGGGCGGATGGTTCTAGTTTGTTGTTTTTGGAGTTACGCATGCTTGTTAGTCGAGGGTTTCTACATGGTTCGTTTATGTGGGCTCTGTGCGTCTTCCCGGTCACCGTGTGTTTTATTGTTGCAATTACCGCTGATATGAAACTTGTTACTTTGAATGGACCTTCGTATTTTGAAGCTAGCTTGGCCGCGAATCCAGTTGCTGCTTTTGACAAGGGGTGCTTTCTTTCCCATACTAGGTCTCCTATTTTGGGTCTCCAGTCCCTTTTCCGGAGGTTGTACGATCTAGCTTGATCCTGTGCCGCCTTTCCCATGTTTAGGTGTGGTAGTTTCCTTGCTTCCATTATTAGTTCCCATCGTGCCTCCACTGTCTCCTCCATGATTCCGGATCCTTGAGTGTTTTCGGCAAACAGGCTTCCTGGTAGTCTAATTTCCCGTCCGTATAGCAGATATGCCGGGCTATATCCTGTTGATTCCTATCTGCTACTGTTGATCGCTAGCGATATTTCAGGTAGCCGGTCGTCCCATCTTGTGTGCTCTGCTCCTGAGAATTGGGCTATCATCGTTTTTATCGTACGGTTTGCCCTTTCTGCTGGGTTTTCCTGAGGGGTGTATGGGGCTGTTAGTTGGTGAGCAATCCCCCATTTCTGTAGCTGTGCCTTGAACTTGTTGCTTGTGAATTGTACTCCATTGTCTGAGATGAGGTTTTTTGGGGTTGCAAACCGTGACATGATTTATTCCCTGAGGACCTTTAATACGATTTCCGTGGTCCCTTTCCGGACGGCTGCTATCTCTACCCACTTCGTGAATTTATCGAACATCACTAAAAACATGTTATTACCGTGGCTAGACCTTGGAAGTGGCCTCACAAAGTCTATGCACAAGGTTTCACAAGGTGCTTTCGCTATCTGTGACAAAATTTTCCCCGCTGCTTGTTGTTGTGATGTCTTGTAGCGCTGGCATGTCTCGCAGCTTCGTACATGCTGCTGTATGTCCCCCTAGGTGTCCTGCTGTTGCTTCGCTGTGGTTTTCTTGCAGTGCTCGTGCTCTTTGGTTTTTCGCCACGCTTAGTTCCATGGCTGTATGTCCTCGTCTGCGGCCCATGACGGTAGATGTCTGTATAGTTTTCCGTTGATTATCGCGTAATCTGGCAATGTTTCGGGATTTCTTTCCAAGTCTAGGAGTTTCTGTTTAATCCAGATGTCTTCTTCGACCTCGGCTCCGTGAGCTTCTTCTTCTGGCATTCTGGATAGTGCGTCCGCAACGACATTGAGCTTTCCTTTGCGATAGCGTATTTCGAACGTGTATGGCTGCATTGCCAACGCCCATCTGGCAATCCGTCCTGATGGGCTTTCTATCCAGTTTAGCCATTTTAGCGCCTGATGATCAGTGATGACTATAAAGTGATACCCTTCCATTTTCTGGATGCCCCAGTGGATTGCCAGGCATTCTTTTTCGGTCGCTGAGTAGTTTTGCTCTGTCTTTGTGAGCTTCCGACTGGCGTATGATATTACGTGCTCGCCGTTTTCATCCTCTTGAGTCAGGACCGCTCCTAATCCGCAGTTGCTGGCGTCCGTCTGAAGTATAAACGTTTTCCCAAAATCCTGGTGCTTCTGTTAGTGCTATTTTAGAGGTTTTGCGTTGCTTTTTCTGCCTCTTAGCTCCACTTAAACTTTGTGTCTTTTTTGAAGTTGTACAGTGGTTGTGCCATTTCCGTGAAGTTCGGAACGAACCTTCTGTACCTACTCCCAGGAAGCTGTGTACTTGCTTTGTCGTTTGTGGGCTTGGCATGTCTAGGATCGCGGCTATCTTTTCCGGGTCAGTGTGTATCCCCCTTGCGCTCACAACATGGCCTAGGTATTTGAGTTCTTCCTTGAAGAAGTGGCATTTCTCTGTGTTTGTCCTCAGGTTTGCCTTGCGTAGTCGGTTCATTACTTCCTGCAGCTTTTCCAGGTGTTCCCTTTTGGTACGCCCGATGACCACTATATCATCAAGGTATGCGAATGCAAAGGCTTCCATCTCCGGTCCTATGACTGAGTCCAGGGCTCTTTGAAACGTGGCTGGTGCTGTGTGTAGCCCGAAAGGCATTACCTTCCACTGAAACAGTCCGCGACCTGGTACGGTGAAAGCGGTTTACTGTTTGCTCCCTTTATCCATCGGTATTTGCCAGTAGCCACTTTTTAAGTCGAGTGTACTTATATATTTGGCCTCCCGTAGTTGGTTGAGTATGTGATCCATTCGGGGTACCGGGTATGCGACTCGCTGTGAGTGCTCGTCCAGCTGCCTGTAGTCTATGCAAAGTCCTCTTTTTTTGTTTTTTTTTCTACGATTACTACTGGCGAGCTGTAAGTGGAATGTGAGGGTTCGATAAGGTCCTGAGCTAGGAGGTCGTCCACTTGTTTGTTTATTATTGCTTGCATGGCCGGGCTTCAAGAGGAAATACCTCTGTTTAATTGGGCGATCGTGTTTCATAAAGATCTTATGCGTGGCAATGTGGCTGACTCCCTTGACTTGACTCATCATTTCCAATTCCTTTTTGAGGGTTTCTTGGATCTCTGCGTCTGCTAGATCGCCTGTCGCTAGTGATCCGATGCCGTGGCTCTTCTGTTTTTTGTTTTTGTTTCTGTTTTTGTTTCTTTTGTTCATGTTCATTCTTGCTGTGATGCCTCCGCATTGTAGTGTCGCGTTACATTGTTCCAAGAAGTCTATCTCCAGTAGAAGGTCGCCGATTACCTCTTCGAGGATTAGCAGCGTCGTCATGCTTGCTTAGTTCCCGAGTACTTCCAGTGCCTCTGTGACCGTTCTGTTTGTCCCGTCTGCTAGTCTAATGGCTTCGTTTACTTGCTTCCTTATCCCATGCCTGGCTATGTTGTTGGCTAGTTTCCTGGCGATGAAACTTCTTGTGGCTTCCGTGTCTACGGCCCCGCGAACTCCTGTGTTGCCTATATTCACTTGTGCAAGTAGTCGTCGGCCATTGAAGTTTATTGCTGTTGCGCGTGTGGTGTTTGCCCTGGGTGCCCGCTCTGATCCCATGGGCCTCTGGCGTTTCCCGCCATTTCGTTCCATCATGTCCGCATATCCAGCAATATATTCTTGGTGTGTTGTTGCACTGCCGTCCTATGTGTCCCTCTCCTTTGCACCTTGAACATCTATTATTCATACTGAATGATCTTGTGATTCCTCCGTTCAGTGCTTGTGGTGGTTCCTGGGGTGTCCATTGGTTTCTTGTTTGTCTCCCGAAATTTCCAGATGTTTGCTGTTGTCTCTCAATTTCCCGGTCGCCGTTTGTTGTGTTGTGCGTTCCTGTGGCTGGAGGGCCTCGAATTCCTTTGCTAACTGCAGGTATTCTGCTAGGGTTCGGCATTCTCCCCATTTAGCATACTTTTTAAATTCCACTCGACTGTTCCGGTAAACCCACTCTAGTTTTTTTCTTCCGTAAGTGTGGTAAATCTCATAATCTTTCGGAGTTCCTGCGCGTAGTCCTTTGCTAACTCGTTTGGTGCCTGCGTGTTATATTTTCCATCGCTTTCTCTTCGTGGTGCGCTGGTCTGTAGTATTCCAGGAATTCTTTTTTGAAGTTTTTCCACGATGGCATTGGGGTTGGATGGGTGTGCCACCAGTCCAGGGCACAGTCTCTGAGCAAAACTACCATAGCTCCTGCTACGTGGTTGAGCTCTATCCCATAGGCCCTTGCCAGCTCTTCCGTTCTACAAATGAATTCTGTCGGGTCGCCCGTGCCGTCATAAAATTCTCCCCAGCTTCGTATTACTCCCATTGTGGCCACTTTGTCGGTCTTTCTGGGCTCGGGTACGGGTTTTCCGCTGCTTGTTTCTTGCCTGTCTGGTATCTGTAGTTCTGGTTTTTCTCCATTCCGTCGGGTGCTGGTGATGGGGTTTTCGCGTGCTTCTGTGCTAGGTCTTGGAGACGTTTGGTGGTTTCTTCGCTGTGGGCACCGCTCTTTATTAACTCCGACATTTGTTTCCGCATGTCCTCGCAACGCGTTTCTGGCTCAATGTCGAATTCCCTCAGATAGATTTCCAGTTGGGCCTTGTTGCAATCGCTGATCCAGCTTCGAGTCAGCTTGTCTGCCATTTTTAATCCGTGCTGTGTTGAGGGAGAGGGTAAACGATCTTTGTTGGTATTTTGAGGTTTCTATCTGTTTGTTTTTAATCTGTTCGGGCGCCACTGTAACGACCCTGTTTTGGTAGACGGTATAGTTCGCCGTTGTTAGGGTTCGTGACAGATATTTATATTTTTCTCTATAGATTGATTTACCTCCCTTTCCCCAATAATGACACAGATGGATAGAACTATAAAGGAGACTTATTTTGAAGTAATCGTACAATATAGGTTGGTCGTGTGGTTGTGTATAGATTCGGCGCTGTAGGAGGGCCGAAAAGTCGCGTCGGCGCTGCGGAAGGGCCGAGAAGTGAACTGCTTCGTCGCGCGTACGTCGGGTTCGTAGTGTTCTGGGTCGTTGGGAGAGATCTACTTGGATTTCTAGTGGGATTCGGGAATGTAGGGCATCGTTAGTTTCGGTCTGCCGGGCATCGTTAGGTTCTACATCCGTTTCGTTTCCGGGTCGGGAGCCGGAAACGTGACGTCTGGGGAACTCACTGAGGTGGGCCTGTATTACGTAAACCGGGCCGCCTCAGTGATCACGACTGGGTCTGGGCTGATTTCTAGGAAACCAAGCCGGGACGCCAGTGATCCTCACCAAGTCGCAGAACCGAATTCTTACGGATCCACCACCAATACCAAGACTATCTACCAGAACACTTACCCGGGTATTTCTCCTTGCTGCTGATGTTTCCTCGATGATCGTCGGAACGCAATTTCCTCATCTGGGGTCTTGCCTCTGCTTATATAGGCCCCGTTGAGTGTGCCCAGAGCGGTCGATGTCGAGAATCCCGATATCGATAACTCGTTATCGGGTCACGAATATAGCGATGGTAGTCGACTATCGATGTATCGGTGGAGTTAGTGTGGCCAGGTTTGGTAGTCGACCATCGATATATTAGTGTGGCCAGTTTATCGTTTTGGGTGTGCGCTTTTAAAGTGCTCGAATTTGGCGCGTGTTTTGAATGTGGTGTGGCGTAGGGAGAATTAAAGATCATTGTGTTTTTTTTTTTGAATGTTCTTTTTATTTGTGACGCTGGGTCGTCACAAGCATTAACTCTGCCATCTGTGCTGATTTTGAATGATTAATTTTAAACGACCCCTAAGGTACCATCTGTTGGTCAGATGTTTGTAAAGCAGAGGTGACAACTCCGACCCAAAACAACAAAATATTCTGGATTATGAATCTAGTCGAAATACGTGTCGAATTCGTGTGGAATTTGATGGTTTGAAATGTAAATATATAAAATATAAATAGTTG